GTGGGGGCCTTCGGGGGACGGGGGGACCTGCTGGGGACATGGGGGGGACACATGAGGGACATGTGGGGACCTGCTGGGGAGATAGGGGGACACATGCTGGGGACGTGGGGACCTTCTGGGGACATGGGGACCTGCTGGGGACCTGCTGGGGAGATAGGGGGACACATGTGGGATGTATGGGGACCTTCTGGGGACATGGGGACCTTCTGGGGACGTGGGGGTGGCAGAAGGACTCCAAGAGGACCCACAGATGGCAGGAGAACCCCAAGGAGACACAGGGACCTTCTGGGGACATGGGGTGGCAGGGGGACCCTCTGGGGACATGGGGACCTTCTGGGGACGTGGGGGTGGCAGGAGGACCCAAGGGGACCCGCAGGTGGCAGGAGGACCCCAAGGAGACACAGGGACCTTCTGGGGACATGGGGTGGCAGGAGGACCCCAAGGGGACATAAGGACCTTCTGGGGACATGGGGGTGGCAGGAGGACCCCAAGGGGACACAGGGACCTTCTGGGGACATGGGGGTGGCAGGAGGACCCCAAGGGGACACAGGGACCTTCTGGGGACATGGGGACCCTCTGGGGACATGGGGGTGGCAGGAGGACCCCAAGGGATGTGTGGGTGGCAGGAGGACCCCAAGGAGACACAGGGACCTTCTGGGGGCATGGGGGTGGCAGGAGAACCCCAGGGGGACATCGGGATGGCAGGAGGACCCAAGGGGACATGGGGACCCTCTGGGGACATGGGGGTGGCAGGAGGACCCCAAGGGGACACAGGGACCTTCTGGGGACATGGGGAACCTCTGGGGACATGGGGGTGGCAGGAGGACCCCAAGGGACATGGGGAGCTTCTGGGGACCTGGTTGTGGCAGGAGGACCCCAGGAGGACATGGGGGTGGCAGGAGGACCCCAAGGGACATGGAGACCCTCTGGAGATGTGGCAGTGGCAGGAGGACCTCCTGGGGACATGGGGACCTTCTGGGGATGTGGCAGTGGCAGGAGGACCCCAAGGGACATGGGGACCCTCTGGAGATGTGGCAGTGGCAGGAGGACCTCCTGGGGACATGGGGACCTTCTGGGGATGTGGCAGTGGCAGGAGGACCCCAAGGGACATGGGGACCCTCTGGAGATGTGGCAGTGGCAGGAGGACCTCCTGGGGACATGGGGACCTTCTGGGGATGTGGCAGTGGCAGGAGGACCCCAAGGGACATGGGGACCCTCTGGAGATGTGGCAGTGGCAGGAGGACCTTCTGGGGACATGAGGACCCTCTGGGGACGTGGCAGTGGCAGGAGGACCTCCTGGGGACATGGGGGTGGCAGGAAGATTCCAAGGGACATGGGGACCTTCTGGGGACACGGGGGGGGCA